ATGAATCTCTGTTGTTCTACAGTGAGAAAGGGCTTTATCGTTATTCTACAAAATCTTTCATTCCTTTATTGCACTCTTTCTCCCATGCAGCTCCCTTCCCCCATATTTTGTTTATTTTCTGGTTCTTTTTTTTTTTGTATCTTCTTTTATTATTTCAGTTGACCTTTTCTCTTTTGTTATAGTTTAAAATGCAATATTTTTTTTTTTTTTAAAGTGGAAGGATTTACTGTCTCTGGCTAAAGGGGAAATTCCACCTCTTTCAGTGCACTGCAACAGAGAGAAACTAATGTTCATTTGTACAGTGCAAATTAGTCTTCTCCAATTATGACTTCTCCAAGTTGTGTTGCTCCCAGAACTTCACACCAACATCATCCAACATATATGGAAGCTCCAAGATTTGGGAAGGCTGGTACAGATAAAAGCATATTACAGAATGCCATGCATGGTAGAAGTTCAGCAAGAAAGCAAGAACAAATTAGGAAAACAGCACGAGGTCATCTTTATTGCCAAACTTTTATTTATTATTTATTCATTTTAGACATGTGTATATTGCTTCCCATTAAAAGAATTCCCATAGCGATTTACATTTAAACCATTTTTAACTTGTAATTGTTTTAAGAAAACTTTTAATTTTTAATTTTGATTTTAATTTCACTGATTTTATTATGTTTTATGCTTTGTATTTTAATACTGCTGAAAGGCACCTTAAATGTTTATAGAAACAGAAAAGGGAAAATCCAATGATAAATATAAATAAAAATAAACTGACTATAATCCCTGCTTCTATTTTTACACCTATATAAGGTCTCACTCTCCCTATGCTCTCAGCTACCTTCCAAACCACATAATGTATATTTTCTTGAGCTTAGTTTATGTTGCTTTACACATTGGTAAAATGCCACAATGCCTAAAGCCACAAAGTAAAGAACAATGGATGGATGGATGATTTATTCTTAACAATGATCATAAAAAAATACAGACAAGTATAAGAGGAAAGGCACATATTTTCTTGTTTACTTTTTGCAGTTTTCAAAAATATATTTGAATACGTTTTCAAGCCCCGCCAGGTAATTTTTCTTTTCCTCTCCCTCTCTCACTTTCACAGAAAAGAGATGGCTGATGGAACCAACTCTACTATACTAAACTTTGTAGCCAACACAGATTCCTAAGAAAGTGCTTTTCTGAAATCTGGTGCTGCCCAGCATTGGATGAGAATCATTTTCTAAAATTAAAACAAAAACAAAAAACAAAAAAACCCCTCACCAACCACATTTTAAAAACATCCCATACTCAGGCATCCTTAAAAATTCTCATTATAAACTCAAATATTGTGTGTGTCAAGATGCTGCCGAAGGAGGATTTCCTGATTTTGGGCATGGCTACATATTAGAAAAGAGCTCAAGCCAAAAGTACCTGGAGGTTCTCTCTGAATAAACTTATTGTCTATAAGGAACAGACATTTTAAGCTCTAGAGCCTAAGCAAGCTCTCAGTGAAATCCTCACATGGCAGCAAAATACACTCAGAGCTGAATAGGGAAAAAAAAAACACCCTCCTGCTGATTTGTATATCTAAAAAAGCATCGCTAGAATATTGTAACACAAAGAGAAAACCAAAAATAACATGTCCTTCAACATCCAGTATAAGTTGACATTGGCAACACTCCCCACTGACTAATCAATTTAATCTAGCATCTCCATCTTGTGACTGATTTTATGGCTGAAACAAGTGGAATAAATTTGGATTTTCCTGCTTCTTCCACATCCCATTTTGGTAACATTTTGTCTAATGAAGAATTATGGAGAATTCCAACCCTTGTACATTCTTTTGTACCATTTTGGGTGGTCCTAACCAAAGGATGGATGTATTTTGCAAACATAACCAAAAGACTGCTCATACAACTTGCCTAATAGGAAAATATAAATTACTTAAAAACCATTAAAACTGAGAGGACAGTAGACATGATTTTAGAATGAGAGATGGTATTTTCTCTCTCTCTCAGTACTATAAATTGGGATCACCCAATGAACTTGTTTCCAGAAAAGCTGTCTGTCATACAACATGTAATGAACTTATGGAAATGGCAGTTTCAGGCTACGAGATATTGTGGAGATGGCACTTAAGATGAATTTTAAAAATGCAGTAGGACCTGCACAGAATATATTATAGCCTAAAGAGTTCCAGGCATTCCTTCTGTTTAACCAGGATTCCAAGGCCACTGAACCTTGGGCAGTTCGTATTAATATTTTTATATTTATGCAAATCTGTCTTTACTTCCTGTGTGTGGATGTTGGAATTACTTTTTTGGGCTATGTAACAATTCACACATGAAGACCTGAGCTACCATACACCAGGTGAACTCTTCTGTGTTTTAACATCCTGTTGCCTCCACTTAGGACTACTATTCAGATCCTCTGATTGGACCTGTATGACTTGTTAACAAGCTCAGTACTACACATTGTTACTAGGGCTAGCATGAGAGTGAGACTACTGTCAGAAACTGCAGATACTAAGGCACCCCTGGGAACTATGTACAGTGGGTCTGTCCTGTTCTCCTTATACTCATAGTTGCAGGAAGCCAATCAGCTTAACTTTGGGACATGGAAAGACAAGTAGACATCATTTCCTCCTTTGCTCACAACAATTTATCTAATACTTCTATTATTCCCCTCTTCTTCCATAACATTCATCTTTTATTTTGCCAGAATTCTCCAGAAAATTCAGCCCCATCACATTGCAATAAATAAAATAATTACTAAAGAATGGAAATAAGCAAATCAACAAATACAACATTCTGCCATGATGTAAAACCAACCAACCAACCAACCAACCAACCAACCAACCAACCAACCAACCACGCACCCTATTTTAGAAACTTACCAGCTCTCTTAATCCTCTTTCTTTCCTTCAGCTGATAGGGCTTGTGATCATGAGACAAAGGAATAGCATTTCCATCCTTATCGCACAAGACCCCCCTTGAATCTCCGACATTGGCCACTGTGAGCTCTTTATCTGACAGTAAAGCAATCAAACATGTTGTTCCTGAAAGGGAAAGAGGAACATGGGAGACCATTAAGACAATGGAGCGAAAATCTCCACTGCTTCCATCATTTTCTCTTCCTCATCTACCTTATCTGCATTCAGGAATGGCAGCTGCATTTGTATCTGAACAAAACATCTAGTACTAAGATGACAGCCTATTTCACAGCACTGATAAATCTGACAGTCAATTTCTTCTTTCCACAATATTTTTTGTATATCTGATATTTGGTTGGCATTTCAGGGGCTGGTTCTCACCTCGCTTGTCATTCAGGAAACCTGCAGGAAAAAATATGGCCCCATGTCCCAATGGTATATACACATTCATCCTTATTCCCTTTGTTTTCCTCCCAATACTAATTACACAAGAAGTGCAAAAATAAAACATACAAAAACGAAGCCTTACCAAGCACAGTAAATGTAAGTGAAAAACAGGTTCCATATTACAAACTGCAATAGGAACTATATTCCCAGTGATAAACTGATGTCTGTCTTCTCCCACTGGGCAAGAGTAATAAGGGAGAAATTGACATTATCAGCTTGCTTGTAGCTGTGCATGATTGACAGCAGCTTCCATTTTACAAGATGTAGGAATAAATTATATCTGGGACAGGTGTAACCCTCTTGATCCCTGTCAAAATGAATGTCATCAAGATAGGTAGCTGCTGGATATTTAACCATTCTAAGTGACATTGCCCAATAAAGGCAGGTTAATCCTATAGCGAACTTCTGGCCATGGATCTTATCTGGACAACATGGCCCCCAATCTGCTTGCAAACTCACCCTCTTTCAATGACCGTGTCACACTTCTATTGGTTCTCATTCCATGCTGTGCTATTATTTCTCTATTTGCATAATTTAGTCATTTGCTATGAATCAGATTGCAAATCCAGTTTTTAAAGTTCAGATGAAAATTTTCTATCGTTATGAGTTGTTAAAGTACCACTGATAATTTTTGTGCATGTGTTACACCCTGTTGTGAAAATGTTTTATTGGCAGTTCTCACAGATGATTTATTACAATCTTTATTAAACATGAAGATTGGTGGAGTTTTGACACCTAGTCAAGTAGAACAATGTATATGCAGAAAATATAGATTAATCATCTTTCTTCACAAACTAAAATGGTCATTATAAGACCTTTATGCCTATAGTGCAAGCTAAGAATAGGTATAGTGACCATATTGCAAATAAACATAAAGAAATACACACCCACACACGGGGGGGGGGGCTGGAAACACGCATAAAAGACCAAAGATAACGTTCCACAGGCTGGAACAACTTTTCTATGAGAAAACATTTCACATTCTTAGAAATAAGATGAATATTCCAAGTGTACGAAATTATGCATGGTGTGGTGAAAACAAGCAGAGAGAGTACTGATGATCATATGATACCTTCAGGACAAGAGACAATGTGTTTCTCAATATGCATATGATCATGTGGATCCTATTCCGATAAAAACTTAAGAACAGCCTTGCTTGATCAAGCGAGGGCTTAGCTTAGTCTGGCATCTTGGTTCTCTCAGAGGCCATCCAGATGCCTCTGGACTGTTCACAAGTGGGATATGGAGACATACCCCTCTCATATCATTGTTTCCCTACAGCTAATATTTGGATGCAGGCTACCCCAAACCTAAGGTATGACTTTATCTGATCCCATTTTAAAGCCATCCAAATTAGTGATCATTAGCCTTGGGCTAATGAATTTCATAGGCTCATGTCTTGCATTTGAGGGCATCTGGCTGGCCATTGTGGGAACAACAAACCTAATTAGATGGGCCTCTGAGTCTATCCAGCATTAAACTTTTTCTGTCTACCATTATTGCAAAAACAAGCAAGGTTAAGCACAAGGTGTTGCAGGAACTTCAGTTGTACAGAACTCAAAAGAAGACCTTTACTTCTATCATCAGAGAGATGTACTGATAGAAATCCTGAAGTCCTTTTTTCAAATTGTTTAAGGGTTTCTTTTACGAAATAACAACACAATATTTTCAAAAGCTATTAAGTATTTCTAGGGAACACAGCTGACATTTAACTCCTCTTATATGAGAACTGCTAAAATTAATTTATTTTTACATCATCACAATTCATGTTCCAGTTTATCGTTTAATGGTAAATAAAATTAATTTCATGCTTGCATTCTTTTCCTTTTAAGTGAGCCAGAGGAGTGCAAGGTAAATTTTCACCTCAGTTAGTTAATTTACATCTGATTATTCAAAAGGCTGAGACATCTGTCTTTGCATATAATGGAGACTTGGGGGGAGGGATTATCAGACAATTTAGAGGGTATTAAAATCCTTATTAATGTATATTTATAAAGTGAAAGAATCATAGTTGAAGGACAGATCCTAAAATTGTGATGCTATTCCAGCTTGCAATATGAAAGGAATGCCATTATAAGTTATGTAGCAATACACCATGTAAATATCATCAGATCCTAGTACTGGGCTGCAAAAATTGAGATATACCTTCAACAACCAGATTTAATACAGAAATTATCTTCCATAAATTCTAAAAACATATAGGATGGGAGAAGAAAGACTGTGTGTCCTGGATGCAGCCACAATATTTTGGCTTCAGTTAACTCCACCTCTAGACCATGGCATATTAAACAGAAGGTCTGAAGGGAAAACGTTTGTGTTGCTGGCTAAATCTCTATGGATGCTCCTGAACAATCACAGCCTTATATAATAAGGATTCCTGATTATGCAAAGGTGCCTACTTGTGATGGTTTCTCCTTCAAATCTTCCACCTCATATGAAAAGATCTGCAGAAACAGCCAGGAAAATATGGGATACTGGAGCTGAAAACAGTCATACGGACCTACTTCCCCTGTCCCTGTTCTTGCTATGCATTTACTTAGGGCCAATATACCGAACACCTACTTGATAGGTTTATCCAGCCTCTGTTTCTCTACCATGATGTAATGTGATATATGTGCAGCCACAGAATCTCCCATATGTACAATATAGAAACCTAATTTTTATCATCTTTCCATTTGGGGCTGGAAAAGCAAGAGATGAGTTCACACAGGTCACGTATTCATTATATGCATTATGATGGATGAAATTCTATGCCCAATTTTCCACCACAGGAAGAGAACAGCTGTTTGAGTAAGCCCATGATACAGCCCCAAAGTCAAATGTATCTAAACATAACTTAAAAAGTGAACAGAGACCAACCCTCACCAACCTGCACCAATCAGAAACCACCAATCAGAAGTCAGTACACCTGATTATAAAGACAGGAGGCCAGTCAGTCTCTGCTTAGTTGCCTGTGGTTGCATAACAGGCCACCTTGCCTCTGAAGATGCCAGCCACAGTTGCTGGCAAAACATCAGGAAATCTGTTGTCTAGACAATGGTCACGAAACCTTGAAGCCCAACATTGCCCAACTGAACAGCTATACTTCAACATGCTCTGCTTACATCTATTGACCTAGGCAAAAAATCTAGACAAAGTTAGGTCCTTCTAGCTGACATTTATGTATCTAAAGGTTTGTCAATATTCTCTAAATCTGCTGCAATCGCAGCTTTCAGAATTCCTGGCTAAGCAAGAAGGTGGCATACTGGGGAAAGCTGACATAAGAATCAGCCATAATAACTGTTTTTTATTTAACAAATCTGAAATTTTGCTCCAGGTCACAAGTGATTTGAAGGCTAGCATCTGTATTGCAGTACTCTGTTCTCCCATGTTGCTCTGGAGATGGAAGATTTCAATTAACCTAACAGTAAAGGAAAGGTTTATATATCCCTTGCCCCAGATCTATAGCTTTGACAAAATTAGAGCATTAATGTTCACTTGCAGTGGGAGATCTGGCTGCAATTGTCCTGTATCACAACTGCTTGGCTGTGAATGTTGGTTCAGCTGTTACCATAAAAGTGTATGATTACACTTTTTCATAGTTCAGTCTCAAGGCTACCAGATCTAGGCTACAAAAAACTGGATGACTACTAGATGGCGTTGTTTTCTGATGTCTGCTGCCATCTAATGTCTTCTGGAATTTTGCAACCAAGACCTAAAAACCCTAGTCTCTATACCAGTCTTCCTCAATCTTGTACAACTTCTAGAATTCCAAACCAGCACAGCCTAAGCCCCAAACCATCTGGAAGGCACTGTCAAACTTGGTTAGCACCTGGACAGCAGACCACCAGGGATTCTCAAGGCTGTAGGTTAGATAGGAATATTGAAAAAAAAATTGCCCAAAGAAGGCAATGACAAAGTATTATCACCAATAAAATTACACAGATGTGTGTAGGAATCAAGCTTGACTTGAGATTTTACTTCAGTGTATACAAGCGTTGCAGCCTAATACACTTATAGGAACGTCTTCTCAATCTGCATTCTCTCTTTGGTTTTAGTTTTTTTTAAAAATCTATCCAGAAAAAGCTTGTCAAAGTACAGTGAGAAATACCATCTCAGATGATATTCCAGAAAGATATGCAGGCTCTTTAACACAGGCGTTTGTGAAGTTTTTTTTTTCTCTTTACCTTGACTGCCTCCCCCCCAATATTTAACTTTGATATCAAACCCATTTTTTTTGCACAATATATTGTATCATGAACTAAACAAATGGGTTCGATCTATTGAACTTGCTAAGCCACAAAAACTAAACCAACTTAACATTAACCAAGCACAGAATGTCATTTGTATGCAGCTTCTAATTTACCTATCTATGCATAAAGCTATTTACTTTTTAATGCAGGATAAGTTTTTTTTTATTTCTTCACTCTTGTGTACAAAAGGGAAAAATACAACAGTGGGATAATAATATTCAGTTTGATTTATGAAAATTTTGAAGCCACTGACCACATCCAGCAGCCTGCCAATATGTGAGGAAGCAAACCTATTTCGCTTTGTCTTCACTGCTGTCTACTGTGATTTAATCCACTTAACCTTGTATAGGGGAAAAAAAAGGTTACTCTTCTCAGTTGTCTCCACATTTCATGTAAGTGTCCAATGGAAAATTCCAAAGATAAAAAGTACTCAAATTGAGAACACAA